TGCATCAATGAAGTTGCCACAGCCGGGCTTTGTTGTAGGAAAGATGTAGTGTGCTTATTCTGACAACTTAACTGCCTAAGTCTGGAATTGGGACCTGTCAGGGCTCAATCTTAAGGTAGCTACATGGCCTGAACGATGGTCCCTTGCCTCCTTTTTTGGGTTCTGAAGTAAGGGCCCGCCCTTTTGAGGGCCCATATGAAGAGTCCATGCAACTACCCTAAGATTCAAGAAACCCTAAACCCTACACCCTTATTGTTTGGCTAATGGAAGTTTGGGTGCTCAGGGTCCTCCCCATGTCGCAAGTCCAAGCCGCCCAGAATGCTGCCGCCAAGCGGAAGACACTCAGGCGCTAGTGCGGGGACCAGGCGCTAGTGCGGGGACTCCGTGGGTTTAGGGTTTAGGGTTTAGGGTTTAGGGTTTAGGGTTTAGGGTTTAGGGCTCCAAGGACCCTCCTACCAATAGGGCTTGTACCTCCTAGGAAGCGTCTTGGGGTCTCAAATCCCGGGGGTTTTGAAGGCCCAAGAGCCTTAGGGTAGGGTCATTAGGGTTCAAGATTTCCCCTAAACCCTAAGCCCTTTTTTGCATCCGGGCTTGGGGAGTCGGCCGGGAATGGTCAGGAAATCGTGGTGACTTCAAGCCACACTATCCGACCAGTATACTAAAGAACTCATGTGGGCGTATCACGGGCTACCATAGAATTAAGCCGTTCCCATACAGGCGTGTCACGGGCTACTGTAGAATTAAGCCGTTCCTGACGCTCTTCTCTTCGGCGAGCTTTCAAAGCAGCACGGCGGGCATTGTGTTCATCTTTCAAGTCTTGGAGTGACGACATGATGAGTGGAACACGTCCAGCAGAGTCTGGGACCTCAACAGCGACAGCACCACGAAGAGCCTCATCAACTAACCGAGGTTCAGATGCCTCTTCGCGCTCAGCAGAGCGCGAGGCAGAACCAGTAGTATCACCGCGGCCCTCCAAATTGGCAAGACGCTGAGTCATCTCCTGCAGCGTACAAACAAGACCTGACATCTTGGTCCCAAACATATCAAACATCTTCTCGCACTGCTCTCGACCCACCATCTCCTCTGTAGTCTGTGCTTCGTTGTCCACACTATGTACCGACGCAGAAGCTGGCAGCGGAATCCACTGAGGGAGCCTGGGGGAATAAGTAGCAGAAACACCTGTGTGGTTGCCACCGTCTACGCCACCAGGAGCTTCACCAGGCATATCCACTTGTTTGAAATCTGAAAGCACGGACGTGCTTTGAAGAGGAGGCAGCATCTTCTGGCGAAGTGTGGGCCGCCGTCTTCCCCAACAGAGCTTCATACAAGCATATCTTCTTTCCCGGCAATGCCTTCATGCAAGGAAGTGCGCCCTGACCCATCGCCACAAGAGCATACAACGCCATGTTCAAGTGCTGCGTCACCAGGTCTGCACCAGAGGACTTTCGGCTCATTCGAAGCGAAAATGCGATGCACGACGCCAGCTTGCGTTGATCCATCATAGCTTTACAGTTGGACCAGGTGGGGCTTGCTGAATTAGCCTCGTAGCAGAAATGGCTTGAGCCGTAGCCATTAAACCCTAAACCCTAAACCCTAAACCCTAAATCAAGATTTACGGCCTGTCAGGCCTTTAGGTGCCTTCTGAAGGTTGAACCCCGATCCTGTGCAAGAAAAATCGCGGGCGGGGGCCCGGCGCCGCTGGGAGGCTTTGTGGAGCCCTGCTTTTGGGGTTTAGGGTTTAGGGTTTAGGGTTTAAGGCTAGGGTTTAGGGTTTAGGGTTGCAGCTTCATGGTACTTAGTTACCCAACTAAATTCAGGCTTCAGGCTTGGGATTGCGGTTTGGGGATTAGGGTGGACGGCCTCGCAGAACGAAGACGAGGCCCCTGTCTCAGGAATTGGAAACCAAGTCCAGGGCCTCAAAGCAAACCGATATCCTTCAAACCATGCCTGGACTACTATTTGCTCAAGAACCCCCCCAAACAAAAATATCTACATAAATGTATGTATGTACGTACGTACGTGCGTATGTATGTATGTATGTATGTGTGTGTATGTATGTATGTACGTACGTACGTACGTATGTATGTATGTATGTATGTGTGTGTGTGTATGTATGCGTGTATGTATGTATGTATGTATGTATGTATGTATGTATGTACGAACGTATGTATGTATATGTATATGTATATGTATATGTGTATATGTGTATATGTGTATATGTGTATATGTATATGTATATGTATATGTATATGTATATGTATATGTATATGTATATGTATATGTATATGTATATGTATATGTATATGTATATGTATATGTATATGTATATGTATGATATATAAGCATATATATATATGCAAAAATATATGTGTATTTCTAGGAAAACAACAATCCCTATAAAACCCTTATAATGAAGAACATGTTTAACTCATTTTTATGGGGTTCTTAAGCAAATAGTAGTGAAGAACCCCAAACCTAACTTTGCAGTAGGTTGCCTCAGGCTCTTCAAATGAACTCGACAAACTAAACCCTAAACTGTAAACCCAACCCTAAACCCTATAGCAGCAGCCTACAACACAGTGGGTTCGGAGCTTTCGGGGTACTTTCAGGGCCCCACAGGCCCATCAGCGGCGCATCCTCGTCACTCAGATTGGAGGAGGAGCTGGGCCGCGACGCAAAACGGTTTCGGGCTTAGGGGGTTTTAGGGTTTAGGGTTTGAGGGTTTGGCTTTACGGTTTAGGGACCCGGGCGGATTCTACAACCCTAAACCCCAAGCCCTGGTGTCCCTAAACCCTAAACAGGGCGGAAACCCGATGCTACTTGAGCTGACCCCAGTATCCAGGCTTTACGAAGTCCCTGCAATCCAGGTCAGGAGCCGAGGCCAAGAGGGTATAGCGTTTCGGGTATCGGGTTTAGGGCAGCCTTTCCTAGCTCCGGGTTTAGGGTTTGGGATTTATGGTTTAGGGTTTAGGACTTAGGGTTCTAAGAGGGTTTTAGGATGCGTGCAGCAAGCCCTCTTCCGCACCTGCGCAGGACGCAGGCGAACAAAACAAGTCGACGCAAGAGAGACTGAGCGGAATGGGAACTGTCCAACTTTCCAGTCTTGTTTAGGCCTCTGCTGGATCAGGGCCCAAACAAGGGTTTAGGGCTTAGGAGTACTGAACCACATCAACCCTAAACCCTAAAGCCTAAACCCTTTTACGCCCGGACATGTTGCGTGGATTTCGCACAACCCTAAACCCATAAGCCTAAACCGTATCCGCAACCAGAAGATTCCAAAGATGCTCCTGCTAGATTGGCAGCCTAAGATACCCAACATACTACAGCCCTACACTACATGGATGACAACTCCCACATCTTGGGATTTCAAGATTTGGTCTCTGTGATTGCAGGGACCCGAGAAACCACGAAGTTTAGGGTCTAGAGTTTAGGGTTTAGGGTATTTTCCACAACGCTGACACTGAAGCCTGATCGTAGTTCTTTGTCACCCGCACAGACATGCATACCCTGCAAATGGAGCGACTGGGAGTCTAAGGTTTAGCCTAAACCCTAAACAATAAACCCTAAACCCTAAACCCTACGCCCTGTCGGGTAGGAAAGTCGTTTGCCCGGCGCGCCCGCTCAGCGCTGGGAGTGCTCACAGCTGCGTCGAAAGGCAGCCTTTAGGGTTTAGGGTTTAGGGTTTAGGGGATGGGCTTTCGGTGGTAGTTAGGGTTTAGAGAGCCATGCCCTCAATCTCAGACACTCCACCCCTACCTCCTCTGTAAGACCGGCAGGAAGTAAGTGGTCTCATTTGAAGAATCTTTCCGCGCCGGGCCACGGGTGAGTTTGTTAATCGTTCAAGGAAGGCGGTTCGGCCTAAGCAGAGCATGAGCAAACCTACGAACAGATGCGAACTAGGGATTAGGGCTCTACATCAACAATGCTTAAGAACTATTCAAAAAACAAAACTCTTCCGTATAAGGGAAATATGAGGACCATTATATCCTTGGTTTTTTCTGCAAGGGATCTTTAGCAAATAGCAGACACAGACCCTGACTCAAAACGTTTAACCCTAAACCCTAAACTCTACACCCTAAACCCTAAAAGACCTTGCGGCCATTTCGATGCAGAGTGCAGCCCTCTTCGCTGATGGCTCCTCGAAGGGTGCCGCCACATCCTGCGAGCTTGGCCCAGAGCCTAAAACCCAAAACCCCAAACCCTTATCATCTATGTTGCTATATATGCATACAATATATATATATATATAGAGAGAGAGAGAGAGACAGAGACAGAGAAATATAACTAAGCAAAAACATGTTAGGTAATGTTGTGTTCTACGCCTTCTCTCTCTATGTATATATATATATATACATACATATATATATATATATTACATAATAAATATACATATATCTACCGGTTAACATTGTATTCCATATGTATACATACCCAAAACATGTAAGACGAAACAAAGGATGCGCAGGAAGCCGCAGTCCGAAGTATATGAGGCTTGGGGAAACTTCACGGTGCTCTCAGCTTCGTGGACTTAGGAACTCGTCGTTTGTTGGGGTTGTGAGCATATTTAGGCAAAGGCTCCTATGTAGTACCTTTTTGGGGTAGTATGCTAAAAGCTAAACCAAAGGCTCCTATGCAGTACCATTTTGGGGTAGTATGCGAAAATCCCCTACAACTAAACCAAAAAACAGGAACTACATTAGAGCCTTCAGGTAGGCAGTCGGGTATCCTAGTTCATCTGAGTAGTTGCTGTTTGGGTTCTTAGCCCTTTTCCTTTCAATGGGGCATCCCAGTCAGTCCAATGGACCTTCAAGGAGGGTTGCTGGTGAAAATAGGGGGTTCTTTGGGATGTTCCTTTATAATTAGGGATTATAGTACCCCTCCCTATTCTAATCCCTATTTAGGACAATTAGTTATTATAATCCCTATTAGGGAAAGTTAGTATAAGGGGGAACATTGAAAAGGGGTTCAACTGACAGGCACGGCAAGAGGACCAAGGCGCCTCAGGCAGGGATCTCGCGCAGCCACCCGTGCGTGTCCGGCTCATCTCCCACCTGACACACAAAAAACCCTAAACCCCGTAACCCCTAAACCCTGAACCCCAAACCCTAAACCCTAAACCCCAAACCCTAAACCCCAAACCCTAAACCCGAAACCCTTTAAACCCTAAACCCTACGCGTGTGCATGCCGCCTGGATCGCCCGCAGCTTGTTGTACATGCTCTGGAGCACAGCCTGCCGAGCTGCGTGGATTAGGGTTTAGGGTTTAGGGTTTAGGGTTTAGGACACGTCCTCTCTTCTTGGTTCCTGGGGTCTAGGGATCTAGGTTCCGTAGGAATCCCTGAGCTAGAGGGTATACTAAGAACCCAAGTGTTTTGGGATTGCTGGTTTCGGGCTTCATTCACATGGATGTTTCAAGATATCGAAACCGCATCGGTATCGAACCGTGGGCGTATCGCCAGGCTGCGGTATCGACATTTAAGCGAACCCAAGCAGACCAGTATCGCGACAAATCGATATCAAGGTACGTGCTCATCCATTAGGCCACTGGAGCTTTCTAGTTGTGAATATAAGAGTCGCGGCAGTTGAGAACCCAGAAGGCCCAGCAGGAAATGCGATTTTAGGGTTCAGGGCTACAGGGAGCAGGGTCTCGGATCTCACGCTTGCAGGGCTTGGGGTTCAGGACACGGATTGCAGAGATCTACCTTTTTTGTGTTTATTTCATGTGGGGCCTGCCACCCCCTCCAACTCTCCCAACCCCGCTTCAATGTCATTTTAGCTTGTACCTTGTACGAGTAGCAATTTACCCACAGGGTCCATTTGTAGTACCATTATGGACTTAGGTACCCCAAAACCCTATTTAGTATGGTTTTTGGTACTTAATGCCATAATAGTACTACAAATGGACCCTCTGGGTTACACTAATCAAGCTTAACTGCGCTGCACTAAGCTCAAATCTTGGGTAGACCAGCTTGTGCGGATGGGTGTATAAACAAATCAAACAGCATATGCTCGCTCATCCCACCCCACTACGTACGGTTCGCCATCGAGTTAGGACTCTTCATCTGTATGACTCGCATGAGACTGGGCTCGAAAATAAATTTTAACTGAACCCTTGAACCCTTAAACCCTTAAACCCTAAACCCTAAACCCTAAACCCCAGGCACCGATGGCTGCTCGAAAGTGTACTTCTTGTCGCCCCGTGTGATGGAGTCAATCCTCATGCCGGTCTGGGGGAGCTCGTGTCAGGGCGCTGAGTGGGCAGGGCTTCCTTTGAGGTTGAGGGCCGTTTGAGGGCTTTAAACCCTAAACGCTAAACCCTTTTTGTCCTAAACCCGAAACCCTAAACCCCAAAACCCGTAAACCCCTAAACCCCTAAACCTATATACCCCAAACCCCTAAACCCCTAAACCCTGTTTAGGCTCGCGGTCTCTGTTCCAGTGTCCAAGGCTAGGCGTGCTCTGAGGGTAGCAGTGCCAACCCCTATGAGCTACCAGGATGGGCCATTGGGCCGTGGAAATTCCCCAGAATGAACCCTATAAAGGGCCTTTTTAAGGGATTCTAGGGTAGAATAGCCTTTTAAGGGATTCTAGGGTAGAATAGCCATCCTGAGGTATAAACCCGAGACCCAGAGAACCGAAGTGCAACCCCTTGAGCATTCGCAAGGATTCTTTTAGAGGTCTCGGGCGTTGAGCTCAGCTACCTCTGCTTCCGAGGCGATGCGTAAAGCGAACAGAGCGGCGCGCCACAGTCTGTCTAAACGAGCTTCAGCGACCCCCTGCACTCAAAGACTCGCAAGCTCGAGCAAACTGCCATAAGACAAACCCCAAGGCATCCGAAACCGAGGGGCACGGTGATGACGACGCCGGTGCCAATGGCCCCAACCTCCTTGAAGTTGGCAACCTTCCATGCAAACAGTTCACGGGGGGCGGCCGTTTTGGTTCCGGGGTCGAAGCTGTGGTTTGCATTCCGACTTCGGATACCCCGCCTTGTACACCAAGAAAGCCTTAGTGCCTAAGTTCGTGAACCTTCAGGAAGAAAGGGATTCGGACGGTTTCTGGGTTAGAGCATGTGCAGAGAGTAATGGTAACAACCCCATTAGGCCTCCAAGCCGTCGTTCCAACGGAAAAAACCATTCGACAAGAGAAGCCCTCGATACTCCAGTCAACACTGATGACTTGGACAACCCCTTAAGTACGAAACCCATTTCCACATATCAATATAATCTTAACTTCTTAACTATAACTCTTAAACATTTTTGTTGCTATTCCTTACAAGCCTAGAGAACCCTGCATCTTGCTCTGAATACTACTCCCGTCTATACTAGCCCCCCCTAGGTTTCCCCCCTTAAATGACCTTAACTAGGCTTAAGTATCCCTAAAACAGTCTTATATTTTTTGCAGAACCTAGGGTGTGTAGTGTAGAGGGCGGTAGTAGGGAACCCATGCGGTTTAGGGTTGCGGTGTAGGGATCAAAGGAGCCATTTTTACGGTCAACAAGGCAGTGGAGAGTGATGAGATGCTGCACAAGCGCGCAGGAGCCCTTTAGGGTTTAGGGTTTAGGGTTTAGGGTTTAGGGTTTAGGTTCCTTCCACAGCCATTCGCCTCCAGACACCTTTTTGTCTAAACCCTAAGCCCCTCTGTTCAAGCCCTCTTGAAGCCCCCTGGAAGCCCTCTTGAACCCCCTCTTCCAGAGCCATTCGCCTGCAGACCCTTGTTTCTAAACCTTGAACCCCTCTTGAACTCCTCTTGAACCCCAACCCTAAACCCTAAACCCTAAACCCTAAACCCTAAACCCTAAACCCTAAACCCTAAACCCTCTTGAACCCCTTAGCTGCCTCAGCCTCGAAATCGATGGGCCGCCTCGAGAAGTCCGGTCGTGGTTGCGGGGTCTATTTCAAGGATGTGGCTTGGAGTGGACCGAAAGGCATGGGGAGGGTTTAGGGTTTAGGGTTTCAATTTAATCATCAGGGTTCAGGGTTTAGGTTTTAGTTTGTTGTTGCTGCTGTTGTTTGCTGAAATGGGTGCCTCTTGTGCTCAACAGATGCATGGCGAACTTACCATGCAAAGTTATGTACGTCATGTATCGTCGTCTATGTATCGAAACGCACATGCGTGCGCATGTATACGTATATGTGTGTATAAGCATAAAGACGTCAGGCTTTGTGTTCGGGACGCACGTGGCTGGATCCGCAGCCTCTCCATGGGTTTCCCTGCTAGCCCCCTCTACACTCCCCCCCCCCTAGGTTCCCCCCTTAAATAACCGAAACTCTCCCTAAAGAGCCTTAATCATGCGGGAACCTAGGGGGGGGGGGGGGGGGGGGAGACCTCATGGCTGAACCTTCCGAGTTCTAAGGGGGCCAGAAACCGAATGGCCTCAAATCCTCCCTGGCTCTTCCATATTAAAAGCTAAACCCTAATCCTAAACCCTGAACCCTAATCCTAAACCCTAAACCCTAATCCTAAACCCTACACTTCACCGCCAAACCTGACCCGGCAGATGCCGAGCCTCTCAAGGACCCCCCCATCCTGAACGCCCCCCAGAAGCATTGATATTGGGCTTAGGGGTTTAGTAGGCTTTCACATCAACTTTTGCCAAGAAGAAAGCTCGTCTGGAACCGTCGACCCTTTTGGACGCATAGACTGGGAACCTTAGACACCAAAGGCCTTTTTGAACCCCAAAAGCCCTCATCGCAAACCCTGAGCCCCTAAACCCTAAACCCTAAACCCCAAACCCCAAACCCTAAACCCTGAACCCTCTCGCCTCTCCACGGACATGCCCATGTCTTTGGCCAGGACCTCTAGGCACCTCGGCAGACAGCCCTGCCCTCCCAAGGGTGCCCTGAAAAGCTGGCTGAAGGTTTTGGGGTTAGAGTCCGAACCGAAAACCCAAACCCTAAATGCTAAACCCGTGCCCTTGTCAAGAGACTTCGCCCGCCCTAAACCCTAAACCCTACACCCTACACCCTACACCCTACACCCTAAGCCCTAAACCTAAACCCCAAATTAAAACCCTATAAGCCCTATAAACCCTGAACCGAAACCGTAAAGCCAAAAACGCCTAAGCCTGGGTTAAGCCCGGAACCCTAAACCCTAAATTACACCCTCTAAACCCTATAAACCCAGGTCTGGCACCTCAAAAAGATCATTGAGGGAACAGGTCCTCATGAAACCCATCGTCTGGGTTGAGGGGTTTAAGGGTTTATAGGGGCTCATGGTCTAAGGCCTCTAACCCTAAACCCTAAACCCTAAACCCTCAACCCTAAACCCTAAACCCTAAACCCTAAACACACTGAGACCACCCTCAACTCGCCTAAGCCCTAACTTGGTAGCCCAGTATAACCATCTTGTGAAAAAAAGGGCACCTTTGCTCTATCAGTGAACTTGGGCACCAAAAAACCACGCTGGGCTACCAAGTTCGAAGCTTCAAAGCCTCTTGGGAAGTTCGGCCGGACAAGCTTGTGTTCTGTCCTAAACCCTAAACCCTAAACCCTAAACCCTAAACCCTAAACCCTAAACCCTACTAAACCCTAAACCCTAAACCTTAAACCCTAAACCCTAAACCCTTTCCTACGACTTGGGGAGCTTCGGTCTGCACTCCGGGGCCCACACTCTGAGAACTTCTTAAGGTTGAGGTTAGGGTGTAGGGATTTGAGGTTTCGGGGTTTTAGGGCTTTAGGGGTTTAGGGTTTAGGGTTTAGGGTTTCAGGGGCACAGCCAAACCCCAAGGAGATAAGGTCAGAGGCAGTTGACGGGCCATTTGCAGTCCTGCCTAAAGTGGAGAGGATGTCAAATGGGTTTCTTACGATGCTTTTCACTAATTTTGAAACAGGTAAACCCGAAGCCCTAATCCGCCGAGGCCGGAGGCCTGAGGCGTTTAAAGTCTAGGGAACCACTAAGAAGTGTATCCAATTCTCGCGGCGTGGCACATGTTGGTAACGGACCCCAGCACGGATTTCGAGTTCGGCGTGAGGTAGACATTCCTGGGTGCTTGAATTTCAGTCACGCCCCAAACACTTCTGTTTGCAAAGGGCCTAGTAATTCATGGGACGCTACCTCGGACTCACAAGGTTGTACCTTGGGTTTGGGGACCTTTTTGAAAGTCATCAAAGTGAACATAAGAGCATATAAGGGCTATATTATATATATATATATATACATATATGATATATATATATATGTGTATGTATATATATATATATGTGTGTGTGTATCTATATATATATATGTGTATGTATGTATGCATGCATGCATGTAAGTATGTATACACATATATATATATATATATGGAATCTCTTAGGGTACATCCTTAGGGTGTCTGGGTACGACTCCCTAGCCGACCTACCTAAACCCTAAACCCTAAACCCTAAATCTTAAACCCTAAACCCTAAATCTTAAACTGTAAACCTAAACTAAAGGCCCTAAATTAAGGGGCAACCTCGGAGTGAACCATGTGCGCTTTCGTTGGGTTTTACAGGGGGATGCATAGGCCCTAAGAGGGGAAACAAAACCCCCCTAATTCTTAGTAGGGAATGAGGGAATGGATGTCCTCTATTTGGAAACCCTAAACCCTGCACCCTAAACACCTCATTCGCACATTCCATACTAAGAACCAACCAGGAAGGGTTGCTTGATGAAGCGACGAAGGCTTTCAGGCAGAGTGTTTGTGGGTCAAAAGGTGTGCGCCCAAGGCTTAGGGTTTAGGGATTGGGGTTTGGGGCTTAAGGTTTAGGATTTAGGGTTAAGATTTATAGAATTCAGGGTTCGGGGTGAGGGTCCTATGTGCGAAATTGAGGATGGTGACCCTTCTTCAACAGCTGCTGGCGATTCATGTTCGTGCTACCGGGTGTGCAGCTCTGAAATCGTGCAAGGATCGACTTCGTGATCGCGGCAAAATTCGAGGTGCTAAACTCCTCGACGTACTTGTGCTCCTGGAGAGACAGTGGCGATCCCACCAAGTCCCCAAGACAATACGAAGTGCCCTAACAAAGGGGCCTTCATGATTGTGGTGGGTTAATATGGTACAATTATAAAGGGGCTACTAATTATTCCGACCCCAAAAGATCTGCCATGCCTTTGCCATTAGACTCCCGCAAAGATCTGGCACGCCCCAAGTGATGGGACTCGCGTATTACTGGGGTGCCTTATGTTTTCCGGTTCGGGTTCCCCAAGATGAGATGCTCCTTGAGCCCCCAAAGTCGATAACTTTGTAATTATGGCTCCTTCCTGTGAAAGACCTAAGTTGGATGCGAGAAGACAAGTGAGTGCCTACGACACTTGAAATCAACGCCCGCTCTAAACCCTAAGCCCTTTTTCTTGCGGCTAGGACTGCTGCACTGCCTGCCCGGGACGAAGCCATGCCATTCAAGACCTATAAGCCCTAAACCCCGTGGATCTCCCTAAAGTGGGAGTGCAGTGCGTAGCCGCGTCCTTTCATGTCGTGTTCTGCCGCAACTCAAAAACCCCTAGCCCGAAAGCTGAACCCGCAACCCTAACCCCTGAACCCTTAAACCCTGAATCCGGAATCCTGAACCCTAAGCCCTGAACCCTAAACCCTAAACGGTTTAGGGGTTTAGGGGTTTAGGGGTTTAGGGGTTTAGGGGTTTAGGGTTTAGGGTTTAGGGTTTAGGGGAACCCTAAACCCCGAACCCTAAACCCCGAACAGGAAATTTTGCAGCTTCCGTCCCTGGCATCCAAGTACAGGCAGATCGGGAAGCCGGCGTCCTTGGCCTTGCAAACCGGTTGGGTTTAGGGTTTAGGGTTTAGGGTTTAGGGTTTAGGGTTTAGGGTTTAGGGTTTAGGGTTTAGGGTTTAGGGTTTAGGGTTTAGGGTTTAGGGTTTAGGCAGAGACCCCACATGGGGTGTTGGCTCGGGATGTTCCCCCTTATTCTAAGAGTCCGTAGTAGGGCTTAATAGGGATTGTTTGGATTTTTTGGGGGTTTATAGGGTTTAGGGATTATAATGTGGGGTACCAGAATCCCTATCTTAAGGGCTGTTAGCATCAGGGGGAACATCCCAAGGTGTGTAGGGTGTTCGGGCCTACGGCTTGGGGAACGTCGGCCTCCCACGTGTGTCTACCATCTGCTTCAGAACCACCCAAATAGTAACGAATGATAACTACTATCTTGCTCTTATAAGGAAGTTTGATTTTTGTTTTCTTTTGGGGGAGTTCTTGAGCAAATACTAGTGTGTAGCTGCACCGTAACGAGACCCCCAGATTTTGTCTATATGATTTTTGTCGGGTCAGGAAGGCTTTAGGGTCTGAGGGGGTTGGAGGGTTTACGGGTTTAGAATTTAAGGGTTTAGGGGTTTCAGGTCTAGGGTTAATTTGGCAATGGCTAAAAAAGGCGGATTCGGGGTTAAGGTTTAGGGTTTTGGGAAATTCTGTGTATTCTATTTAGGTTTAGGGGCGTAGGGGTTATGGATTATTAGAGTTTCGGGCAGTTCTGTATATGTTTAAGTCATTAGGGCTTTAGGGGTTAAGGGTTTATATAGGGGTTCGGGAGATTGTTGTACATGTTTAAGCGTTTAGGGGTTTAAGGGATTAGAGTTTGAGCAATTGTTTATCTGTCTAAGAGGCACTTGATCTGTCATTGCAGGGTACTGGACAAAGCAATGAGGCAACCCACCCCCCGGCAAACAAAAACAATGAACTACAATTCAGGGTTTGGGACTTGGAGGAACCTAATGCTGCCATGGAATTTTGGCGAAACATCTGTAGGGCTTAGGGTTTAGGATTTATGGTAGTGTTTTGGTGCAATTGCCTGCTTTGCTGGGACGATGTCGGCAGCATAGTTGCCGGCACACTTCACCTGCGACATGGCAGAGTTGCGAGTGCCAGAAACGGAGGAGTTGCGAAGCCGCTACACAAAAGATGCCTAAACCGTAAACCCTAAACCCTAAACGCTTAACCCTAATCCCTTTTCCCTAACCCTAAACCCTAAACCCTAAACCCATGTGGCTGAGAATGCGATTCTGGGCTGAAGCCAGGTCTGGTTTGACGACCTGCTTCCAGAAGGAACTGAACATAAGTCTGCCAGCTGTGTGCAGAGCCACATGGGTGGTCGTCAAAATTATGGTCCCTTTTTGGATCCCTATTATAATACGACACATTATGTTTAGGGCACCCCAAAAAGGATCATAATTTTGACAGCCACCCACATGAGGTTTGGGTTTAAGGTTACGGTTGCTGGAGCTTCTGCCAAACAAGGGTCAGCCCAACCGGCCCCTCCCCCCCCCCCCCCCCCGGCAAACCCTGACCCCAAAACCCCAAGCCTTAGGCCCTAGACCCTAAACTCTAAACTAAACCCTAAACCCTAAACCCTAAACCCTAAACCCTAAAGCCTAAAGCCTAAAGCCTAAAGCCTAAAGACTAAAGCCTAAACCCTAAAGCCTAAACCCTAAACCCTAAACCCTAAACCCTAACCCTAAACCCTAAACCCCGGATGGTGTTCGCTACCTGACCAACACCCAGCGGGGCAGCGCGGTCGTACCTCAGCGACGGCTTGATAGGCAAGTTCAGGAGTGGAACCTCTGCCTGCGTAGGGTTTAGGGTTTAGGGTTTAGGGTTTAGGGTTTAGGGTTTAGGGTTTAGGGTTTAGGGTTTAGGGTTTAGGGTTTAGGGTTTAGGGTTTAGGACTTAGGGTTTAGAGCTTAGGGTTTAAGGTGTAGAGCTACCCGTATTCTAGACCCAAGAGTAACCTAGGAATCCAAGGGTTCCCTTTTTGGTTTGAAGGAGCTTAGAAGCCCTTAAGCAAAAGCGAGTAAGGGCCTACTCTGGGTCGTAGTACCTGATCTATTCCCGGGGTTCTGTTTTTGCGTTTTCTTTCCGATTCTTTCCTTTTGACGAGGGGGGGCCGGGCTGCTTCGAGCAACGACCTGAGAGTGTCAACCCAATTGCCAAGCCCGCTCACGTGTGCATCCCACCCACGAAGCCCTACCAATTATTGCAATTCTGCTTCTTGGGCACGGAATTGTCTGACTATATACGGTCCTGACCAAACACACCTGGGTTCCCCCCTTCCCCCCTCCCCACCCCCCGCCCTTAGCCCACTTTAGCTAAGGGCTTAGCGGTTAAGAGTCTTAGGGCCTTAGGGTTTGGGGCTTACGGCGGTTTAGGGTTTAGGGCTGGGGACGGCTTAGGGCTTCGGGTTTCACTCCGCATCAACGGGTCGAGGCCACCCGAATGACTGCGCCAACAGTAAGGGCTTAGATAGGGTTCAGGGTTTAGGGTTTAGGGTTTAGGGTTTAGGGTTTAGGGTTTAGGGTTTAGGGTTTAGGGCTTAGGGCTTAGGGTTTAGGGTTTAGGGTTCAGGGTTGAGTGATGTTAGTGTTTTCAGTCCGGATGCTCATCCACGAGTCTGCAAGGCACAGAGCCGCCGTAGTACGGGCCCACAGGGGACACGAGGATCATGAAGGTGAACCTGAGTGCCTAAACTCTAAACCCTAAACCCTAAACCCTAAACCCGGAACCCTAAACCCTAAACCCTAAACCCTAAACCCTAAACCCTAAACCCTAAACCCTAAACCCTAAACCCCCAATATAGTCCCTCAAATAGTAGGACTCCCTGGTAACCAGGACCCAATAAGGTACCCCGAATTTCGGAAACCCCCATATTTGTACCCCCTGGTGTCCCCAGACCATGGGTTCCATGCAACTCAGCGCGCTGCCTTCTGATCTCCGACCCTTTTCTGCTCTTTGCTTCTTAACACCAACAAAAAACAATCTTCCTTTAAGGGCGCTATAGGGGGTATCATTCCATTTTCGGGGGGCCTCTTAAGCAGAGAGTGGTTTTGCAAGGTAGGCTATATATTCTTGCCTCCGCAACAGGGCCCCACATAGTAGACCTACACCCCCGAAACCAAAAACTTAAAACCACTCGACTCCTAATTACAAACGCTCCGCACCCCCAAAAAAACAAAAACAAAAAGCCTCAAACTGTCCAAGGCCCTACGCCCTCAACACTCAAACCCCCTAAACCCGAAACCCTTTTGAACCCAGACTCTAAACCCTAAACCCTAAACCCTAAACTTTAGGGCACTTTGTGTCGAGGCGTGCAGGCCCAGCGGCTCCGAGCTGGGACCTAGGCCGAGCTGCGGCCCGCTGCCGATCATAAAGGGCCGCCTTAGGGGGTTTAGGGTTTAGGGTTTAGGGTTAGGGTTTAGGGTTTAGGGTTTAGGGTTTAGGGTTTAGGGTTTAGGGTTTAGGGTTTAGGGTTTAGGGTTTAGGGTTTAGGGTTTAGGGTTTAGGGTTTAGGGTTTCAGGGGGGGTTGATAGGGTTCATAGGGTTGAGTGTTTAAGGTTTGCAGGGTTCAGGGTTTAGGGTTTAAGGAGTTTAGGGCTTAGGATTTTGGGGTTTAGAGGGTTGATAGGGTTCATTGGGTTTCTGGGTCGCCTGGGGTGGGGTTCAGGGGGTTTAGGAGGTTTGCAGGGTTCATTGTGGGGTTTGGGGTTTCAGGGGGTTTGGGGTTAGGGTGTTTAGGGGGTTTATGGGGTTTATAGGGTTATAGGGCTTTCCGGGTTTAAGGAGTTTAGGGGATCGAGGTTCAGGGAGTTTAGGGTTTGATATTCAGGGGGTTTAGGGTTTAGGGATTCGGGGGGTTTAGGATTTAGGGGTTATATAGGGGGTTTAGGGTTTCGGGGTTCAGGGAGTTTAGGGTGTAGGGTTTTGGGGTTCAGGGAGTTTAGATTTTCGGGTTCAGGGACGACAGGGTTGAGGGGTTTAGGGATTTGGGGTTCAGGGAGTTTCGGATCTAGCAAAACTCCACAGGACCACTGTATCAGAGAAGCACATACGGATAGGTTTAGGGATTGGGATTCATAGTTGTAGGGTCTACAGAGCTAAGTATCTATAGTCTACGTTGCGCGGTGAGCGTATGTTAGCTATAGCGCTTTTACCCTAATATGCCCGAACATCTCGCTCGCTCCATCTCTCTCTGTCTCTGTTCCCCACTATTCAGGGTTTAGGGCTAAGGGTCCCGGACTTCGGGTTTAGGGTTCAGGGGTATAGGGTTCACGGGTTCTATCGCTCACGCTCGGACAGGCACACACTGGCCCAAGGTCTCTGTGAAGGTCTTTGCCACCCGAAAGTCAAGGGTTTAGGGTTCTCCTTTTGGCTTCAGTAGGTTTACATGAGTAGGTCCCGACTCCGTCCACCTCCAGCAAAAACAAACAGTGGAGTAAGGGTACCATCGGGCTGCTTCTACACAAGAGCCCTGAAGCCTGAAGATCAGACGGCTCAAAGCCACTAGCCCTCAGTCGCAGCAGGGGAGGAGTTCAGCTTAGGGCTTTAGGGAACACTATTTAAACGCCAAGCCGCACGTACAGGGAGGCCCCGCTACCTGAGAGGGTTTTTTTTCTTCCTTTTGTTGGCATGAGGCGCCAGGAAGGGACAGGGTGCAGGGTTGCTCTGCGGTAGGATTCATTTCGGCCGATTGCTTGCGAAGCTGTGTCAGGCTTGTCGAGGTGTAGCATTTAGCCGGGTTCCGGGCTGTCTCTAAGCTGCAGGAGCCGGATTTGGATCTTCTGGGAATCGCAGACAGAAACCTAAGCCATGACTCAACCTGGCCAAACCCCGTCCAGGCGCATGCCTGAACGTGCGTTCAACCGACTACCGTGTGAAGATACAATGCAGTCTAGAGAGGGAATGAAAGCATTACATTGGGATGTTCCCCCTTACACTAACAGTCCTGGAGAGTACCCCTACTATAATCCCTATTCAGGACTGCTAGGATACCGGGGAACATCCCAAGCAATACACATATAGCCAGCTCTGTTTCTAGACACACAGACATAAACACTTACATTCTGCCTAATTGACGCAGGGGAGCATTCAGCCTTAATTTCCCAATGAGGACCCCTGTATAGCTTGGGTATGCGCCAGGAGTATATGGGGCATATAGGGGCCTTAATACTTGGAATCTGGTCTGGGTGGGTGTTTTTATTGTATAATTACAAGGGACCCTAAGTGAATGTTATTAGTACTTATTCCGACCCCTATATTCTAGGGCTCCGTGTGTCACTTCTAAAGATAGCCCGAAACCTCTTAACTAAGGAACCTACTGTACCTCAAGGAGCCTTTAAGGCTACCATTTGCATAAGAACCTCCCAATGAAATAATGAGAAAACACGTTCTTCCTTATAAGGGCAATATAGGGATTCTTCTCCTACATGTTTTTGGGAGTTCTTACGTAAGCAAATAGTTCTAAGCCCTTAACCCTAAACACTAAACCCTAAACCCAGGTAACCTCCTGAAATCGAGGATGTTTCTCCGAACCCTCCCAGATCCCGGCCGTAGGGTGGGACGAAGTCAAGGTTGGCGGCCACAACGCGGTCCACGGCCTTGCTCCAGATGTTTCGCAGGCCGTGTGTGGGGTGGGGTTTGGGGTTTAGGGTTTAGGGTTTAGGGCTTAGGATTTAAGGCTTAGGGTTTAGGGTTTAGGGTTTGAAGCTTAGGGTTTGGGGTTTAGGGTTTAGGTTTTCGGCGAAACGGGGACTGGGGTACTATCGAGTCTATCTAAGACCCAAATGGTTGGGTTGCATTGGTCATCCTTCCCCCTCCCCCACCCCGCAGCCCCCCCAGAACAGAGCGAGCGTTCCTTGAATGATATTCTTAGGTACTTAGTTCCGTATTCGCTCCCCAAGTTAGAATACAAGTGGCTTGGCTTAATTTGGCGAAATTAGCAGAATTGGAGGTCAGCTCTATAGAGCTTGATTTTACTTGTACCGTGAAAGGCTGTTGACTCGACAAGATGGCCGCTAAAGCAATCTCAGTTCGATTGCCAAGCTCATGTAGCGCATCGGTTGTCCCAGTAGCCGTCCGTCACCCTAACCCTAAACCCTACACCCTAAACCCTACACCCTAAACCCTAAACCCTAAACCCTAAACCCAACATGCCTCAACATGCCTGGCTTCAGAACCTTTATGAGCAATGAAGGACACCTACTGGGACGCTTAGCGCAGCCCTCCGATAAACGCAGAGGCCGCGAAACCCACCATTTTCACACGCTTCTTCGCGCACATGCTTACTCTTCCAATAACAAACATGGGCGAAACTGTCTTTATTTCCCATATATGAGGTACGGACCAAACAAGCCAAACAAGGCTACAGTCTAGTAGGCATGAAACGGACACCCCCCCCCCCCCCCCCCCCGAAAACGGACCCTGGTTTAGAACAACCCCATAAACCCTAATCCCTAAACCCTAAACCCTTGGACCCCAACCTGGTGGAACATCTCGGCGGGCATGGTTGGCATTCCCATCCTCTGGCAGCCTGCAGCGCAAGAACATCCCCCCTTGAAACTCCTTAACTCCAAGAGGGTTTAGGGTTTAGGGTTTAGGGTTTAGGGTTTAGGAACCTCTTAAATCCAATAGGCCCCCTCCCCCCCACCCGAGGGCTTCGGGTGTATAAGGGCTTTAGAACTTCTCCTGAAAACCCTAAACCCTAAACCCTAAACCCTAAACTCTAAACCCTAAACCCTAAGCCCCCCCCCCCCTCCCCGCTTCCCCATGTAACCACAACGAGAAGGGTCGAGGGGGGCCGGAGTCTCTAGGGGTTAGGGTTTCTAGGGTTTAGGGTTTTCGGGTTTAGGGGTTTTCCGGCTTCTAGGGTTTAGGGTTTTAATTAGGGTTTCGGGTTTCTAGGGTTTAGGGGTTTCGGGTTTAGGTTTTTGGATTTAGGTTTTTAGGGCAAGGGAGTCTCACCACAAATTCTTGCAAGAGGGGCCAGCCGTCATGCGGGCGTAGTTCGCCTTGTCGTTGAAGATTCCTCAGAGCTTGCACGGGCACCCAACGGTTTAGGGTTTAGGGTTTAGGTTTTTGTGAGCAGGCAACAGGAGACGAGGGTGGCTAGGACGTAGCTCAATGTATCGGGCCTGCGGAATCAGAATGGGTATTGTGAGAAGCTTGTCGTCAAATTCAT